AACACAGAGCTGCCAACTCTCTTTGATCATATTCTATCAGACATTCAACACCTGGTGCATATTACAGCTCTTCCAGGTGACAACAATGGCAGCCATGAAAATGTGCCTCTTAAATCTCCAACTGTAGAACTATAATTCAATGATATCCCTAGCCATCATGTTTGGGCCAAGGCCACACTTCTCATGGGCTGCTCTGAGCCAATAACTGAGTGTGGCAGGGATACTAAAATAAGTCCCATTCCTGCAATAAGGGGGCTCCTCTGCTAGGCAAGTGTCAACTGAGAACTCCCCATTGCCTTGTTTTCTAGAACTGCTGCAGTCTAAGGCTTTTCCTACCCAACCTTCCTTCCTCTCCTTGCTCTTTCACAGGGGTCAGATCTGCATTGCATTCTGATGGCTCTCCCAGCCTTCCCTGGTTTTGATTTGCCCCTCACAATAAATCTCTTGAACATCTAATGCTTCCCACTTGTTTCTCAGAGTACCCAAAGTATCACAAGTGGTGTCAGGAGTGGCCTGAGAAAACAGGTAGTAAGATAGAGTTCCAAGGGGCCGGCCCTGTGGCATAGTGGTTAAGCATGTGTGCTTCACTGCTGGCAGCCCAGGTTTGGATCTCAGGCATGCACCAATGCACTGCTTGTCAAGACATGCTGTGGCCGCATCCCATATAAAGTGGAGGAAGATGGGCACAGACGTTAGCCCAGGGGCAGTCTTCCTCAGCAAAAAGAGGAGGATTGGCATGGATGTTAGCTCAGGGCTGATCTTCCTCACAGAAAAAAAAAAAAGAAAGAAAGAGTTCCAAGACAGGTTCATTCACTACCAAATAGGCAAAAAGGATGCTGTCTTGAGTGGTATTTGGGACAGTCTCTGGCAGTCCATTGCTAAATATTTAAACAGAGGTGAACTGGGAATATCTCAGTGAAGAGGAATGCCTAAGTGGAAGATAAAAACAACAAACAAACACACAGATGCAGAAAATAGATTGGTGGTTACCAGAGGGGAACTGGGGAGAGGGGTGGGTGAAGGGGGTAAAAGAGCACATGTGTACAGTGATGGATGGTAATTAGTCTTTGGGTGGTGAGCATGATGTAGTCTACACAGAAATTGAAATATAATGATGTTCACCTGAAAGTTTTATAATGTTATAAACCAATGTTACTTCAATAAGAAAACAAAATAAAATAAAAGAGGAATGCTCTGCAGGTGTCATGATTTAAGTGTCTGAAAGACATGGGGGAACAAGGCCTACAAAGCAGCAGAGTTGGCTGTAAGTTACGCTGATGCCCTGCAGAAGAATCATGAGAAATGAGGGCCGTTGTCAAGCAGTTTAAGACTAGCTGTAATGCCAGAGGGCCTCTTTGGTAGCTTACAAAGAAGCCCTTATCAACCGCAGGGAAAGAGAAGAGGTGGGTAGGCAACATGTACAATAGGGGTGGTAAACCTCCAGAAAGGGGAGATGGTAAATAGTTTAGGGTTTGCAGGCCATATAAGATCTTCATGACATATATTCTTCTTTATTTTTATAATACTTTAAAAATGTAAAAAACATTCTTAGCTCACAGGCTGTATAAAATGGGCTGTGGGGAGGATTTAGCCTGTGGGCCAGAGTTTGACACCCCTCACATAGAAGATATGAAAGTTGGAATTGCACAACCAAGTCAGGGTCCTGCTTTCGAAGACTGGTGCACTGAAACATGGGATGGAGAGCCTTGGATGGAGGCCCCTGAGGGTGTTGGCTGGGAGATGCCCTGGACACCCTGGGCTTGCACTCACCCTTACCTCGTAGGAGGTGGCACTTCAGCTGTGCTGCAGAAGACTCTCCCTGATGAGGCAACAGAGGACCCTCAGGAATGCCCCCCATCTCCTCTCCTAGGAGGGAGACTGAATACTTGGGTTAAATCCTCGAATACCCTGCCTGGGGAAGTGCTGAGTCTGAGAAGGGAGAAAAGAGACTGTACACTGAAATAACAGAAGTAATTAGCTAGCAGGAAGTAGGAGGAGTGGAGGTAGTGCCCCTGAGATTGGTTGAGAGTGCTTGACCATGAGAGCTAGAACGTAAGATTATAACAAGCAGGAGTTTACTGACTTTGGGCACTTTCTCAGGACACAGGACCTGACACTCTGTCAAAGATGACAGAAGATGGAGCAAACTTGCTTCTAGGGTGGCTCTTAAGATACGCAGGGTAAGCAATGATCAGCACTGAGTGAAGGATAAAACTGAGCTGATGAAAGGGGGCTGGCTGGAATGGATATATTATGAGTCAGAAAACCCACAGAGGATTATGTTCCCCAACAGGGCTCAGAGAATGCACTACTCACGAAGGACATCAGGAACGTGCTGGTGAGAAAGGCCCGGCCTCACTGTGAGTTCTGGGATGGGTCTCCCTGCAGGCCACAGCTGACTAGGACAGGCACTCACAGACCTGGCTTGTTAATACTCGTGGCATGATTTGCCAGCCACCCACCCACTGCCCCCCAAAACCAGGCAGAGTTGTTAACCAGAGAAGCTAAGAGGTCACATATAATGACCAGTAAGGTTGAAGAGGGAGCCAAGGGAAATTACGGAGATGGTTAACACAGCATGGTAAATGACAACTAGAGAACCGTGTACAGGTTTCTACTTTTTATAGAAGAATTTTAAAGCATAGTCACATTATTTCATTTTAAAGCAAATGAAGCAGAAATAGTTTCATTTCTGAAACTATTACAGAGCATTTAGCAACATGACATTCACCCCAGGTGTGAACTATTATGGAGCTTTGCTTCTCTAAGTGTATTTGATACATACAAATATCTGTGTGCTTTTTTCCCATAATTATTTGGGAAACTTCAAAAAGAGTGGTACACCCAAAGCTTTTTAAGCCTCTTGCTAGAATTTAATTTGAATAAATTGTGTTGTGCAAGTACAGAAAAACATTTACAAAGTTTAAACAGCTCATTGGTCCATAACGATTCTAAGTATCTGTAATTTTCAAAGGTTGTGTCAATGTGCCTAAGAAAAGGGTGAAGACAAAATAAAATGTTGGGGGCTGAGCACCTACCGTGGCTAAATGCCCAAACCCTTAGGGGCATTTTGGTAGAAGGTCACCTAGAGAGCAAGTGAACCCCAATATGCACTGTGTGCCACCAAGTAAGAGCTAGTTCCTCACAACCATTCAATTTAATCCTCACAAAAATATCTTGATATTGTTGCATCTGCAACTGCAAAATTCCTTCTGCAGTTGTAGAACTAGGCTCTGAAAGATACAGCGGCTCACCAAAGGCAACGCGGCTCTAAGTGGCAGCTATGGGATGTGAACCTAGATCTCCTGACACTAGACGTGGTATTTGTTCTACTTTGCCAGAGAAAGAGTTCGCAATTTTTTTCTGTAAAGGCCAGATAGTAAATATTTTAAGCTTTGCAAACCATATTATCTCTGTCACAATGACTTAACTCCACTCTTGTAGTGAGAAAACAGCCATAGACAATATGTAAATAAATGAGTCTAGCGGTGTTGCAATAAAACTTTATTTACAAAAATGAGTGGGGGCCTGGATTTGGCCTAGGGATTGTGGTTTGCTGACCCTGCTACAGATTAAAACATACAAACAAACCACAAAGGGATTAGACTCTCAAGCTTCTCCTTTTCTGACTTTCAGAAGCATTTTCATTACTGCCCCATTGACCCCACTGCATTATATGCAATCATGACTTCACTGTACATTCATCTTACAGTTCCTAGCTCTTCCACAGCACCCACTTTCCTTTCCCTAATGCAAACTCTAGCTTCCTTGATAAACACTTGAAAGCAGTGATCAACACCGTTTTTTTAAATGTGTGAACCAATTCAGGAAAAATAAGATTTTTTTCCTCTATTCTTAGTAAAAATAGTTTATTGGATCACAAAATGAAAAAACAATGTAAAGATTTCCTGCTTTATTGAATATTTTTAAGCACTAATGAAAAATTGGTATTGCTTTTTAGTTACCAAGGTGCTAATATGTGGGCAACAGAGTCATCTTCCTAAACCTCCATTCCTTCACTTTATATCCTGCTTTAGGATTCAGAACATGGCTCCTTATACATTATTTCATTTATCTTTGAAGCCCACTTTGAAGTAGGTATTATTGTGGAGAAACTGATACTCATGGAGGTTAAGTGACTCACCCAGAGTCACAGTCCTTCTCTTCTGGTAACACTCAACAAGCAAGCACTGTGCTAGGGGCCAGGAATAAGGAATAAACCAAATCCCACCTCCTCACCTTTCTCCCTTGGCCTCCTTGTTGATCCCTGGCCTCCACCAAAACCCACAGACCTAGATAAGCAATTCTGAGGAGATTCTCCTCCTGGTAGTTGCTCAGGTATCTTTTTCCCCTCAGGCCTCTTCTTGGTTGAACTGAAAGCTGCACTTGAACTGATATCAGACACTTTTCTGGAAAACCAAACAGGGCATGAAGCTCTCTGGTCTTGGGTGGCTCAGCCCAGCTTTATGGGATTAATTCTTTCTAGGGACTCATCTACATTATTACAAATAATGATTTTTTAAAATTGTTAGACTGTTTGATCAATGTTAGTTCTTATTATTTCGTATGTTTACTACTTGCTCTGAAAGTTAGTTTTATATCCCCAAAGAAATATAACTTCCTATAGTCTCTAATTCTGCTTCTCTCCCCTTTGAACTGACATTATTTACTACATTCCTTTCATCTGTCAATGTTCTTTCTGCAAGGAGTCAGTCCCCTGTGCCTACTGGCCTTTCCTCATCTAGTTTTAAGAGTGCAATATCTCAAGTGGGGCCCTTACTCAATCCATTGCATTACTTGATCATAGCCATTTCTTCAAGATCTGAAATCAATTCTTACAGATCCTGCTGGTTGGCTAATTTGCATAGTTGTCCTGATGTTTTCATCGAGCACATCCAGTAGTTTTGGACATTTTTAGTTTCAGATAAGGATGTTTTTCTTAATTCCAAGGAGCTGGAGTCACACAGGGTCTGCTAAATGAATTCCTCAGCCCTACTCACCTCTGCAATCAGATCCTGTAGCTCTCCTTCACTAGGGCAGCATCCCAATGACCTGATAATTGTACCAATCTCTCTGGGAAAAAAGGAGGCAATAGTTTTAGAATATAAACTCTGACGTGGCAAGCACTGTATTTCTCTAAATTATTTCAGAGTAGATGTAGCATAGCAAACAAGGTCAATAAATACTGCCTTGTGAGGATAAAAGATACTTTCTGGGGAAAGGAAAAGACAGACAAGTGAACCAAAGAGAGAAGAAAGAAGTGTTTGCATTGATTGGCAAAGGTAGTCCCTGCTTGGGCAAAATCAAAGAGTTCTAGAAAAGGAAAAGAAAGGGAGGGGAATAAGAAAAAGAAATGTCAGCCACTTACTAGCTGATCTTAAGTGTTAGTTAACTCTTTTGAGCCTCAGTTTCCACATCTGTAAAATGAGGATGATAATGTCTACCCAGAGGTTTGTGGTGAAGTTTACATTATGGCAGAGACTTAAAAGCATGGCCTCTAGTGTCAGCCTGCTAGGGTTCAAATCCCAGCTCCGCAACTTGCTAGACCAGGCAGGTTCACCTCTGTGTGCATAAGCCGACCCAGCAGGTAAAACACAACAGAAGGCCTGAAATACTTAGAACTGGGCTGGGAAGACTCTATGGATCAAACAAGATAAGCCATCATAATATAAAGCACAGCTCTTGGCAGAGTAGCCACTCAATAAATATTAGTTCCTCCTCTCCCCCTCGCCCATAATAATGTAACTTAATTCAATAAATGACCTAAAAAAAGTATAAATTATATTCAGGACTCTCTGGATGCCAAAACAGGGAATTTGAATACATTATTACATATTTCTACTTAAAATGATTAAAGTTGTAATATTTGAATGTTAATTTAATTTCACAAATATTCACTTAACTAGAATATTTAATTTCTCTACCATTCTGGATAATATTGGTAGTGTCATATTTACTCCCTATTTTACTGAGAAAACATTTTAAATAAGAATTTTTAAGTTCTTTATTCAAGGAGGTTGCAGGATGAGTATCAACTTAAGAGAAAAACCTAAAGTCAGTAACTCTGGAAGATTCTTAATTTTCACTTATTGATTTTCCTTCATAATCCATGAGAGCCAACTAAATATGTAATGTCTTTATGTGAATTATATTTCATACTTCCTTGAGAACCTGAGTCTCAACACTTCTGCATTGTTTTCCACACCCATATCCCTCATCTAGGCAGGATCTGAACATAAGGGTGTTGTTAGAAACTAAAAACATTTTATAAGATTATACTGTCTCTCAAGACGTCCCTAAAGATGTCCCATGAAACTGGTTAACACCAACGTAGTAAATATGTTATTGTAGATTGGACTGGCTATTGTTTACATTAGAATAAATAGTTAATGAGGCAGAGACAAAAAAAAGTGATTTGATAAGTATTCACAGATTCATTCCCTTCATAACCTTCCAGGCCTTCTGTTATGTGAGTCAGAGAAGCACTTAAACCCCAGAATCAGAGTGACAAAATAAAGGCTGTATTAACTTACACACAAAAGGGAGGGCAGGGGGCCGGCTCCGTGGCTTAGTGGTTAAGTGCACACACTCCGCTGCTGGCGGCCTGGGTTCGGATCCTGGGTGCGCACCAACGCACCATTTCTCCGGCCATGCTGAGGCCGCGTCCCACATACAGCAACTAGAAGGATGTGCACCCATGACATACAACTATCTACTGGGGCTTTGGGGGAAAAAAAAAAAGGAGGAGGATTGGCAATAGATATTAGCTCAGGGCTCATCTTCCTCACAAAAAAAAAAAAAAAGAGGAGAAGGAGCCACAAAAACTGCTAACACTGAACTTTTCACTGGTCTTGGCAAAGAAGGAAATGGAATTTCACTGGATTTAGAAAAATAATGTGACATCTTTTATCTCAAGTCTTATTGTGCAAGACTTGAGATATCTATCTGTAACCCTAGTTTGTGGTTTGGGAATGGATGATGAAGAAATTCCCACATGAAGACTTCTCATTCTTCTGTGTAGTATGAGGCAAGGTCCTCTGCTGAGACTGAATGGGAAGACAAGAGACCATCTTAACTGTTTCTGGGCTTGCCATGACTTGCCTCTCTAAGCACCCATATTTCAAGACAGCCTCATCCTCGCTCCCACATTCTAAAACCTGCACTTCTCCTGATGTACTGGATATTTTCTGTGTGCCACCAGAATCCCATTCTTCTCCACCCAGCTCCATTTCCCCCAGGGACTGACCTCTGCTTCTGCTCTAGGCTCCCTCTACCTCAGGCTCCTGTTGTGGTTGGTCAACACACGGCAGAGCACTGCAGTTGTCTGTTGCTGCTTAACTAGCTGCCCCAAATGTAGGGCTTTAAACAATGGTTTCTTATTTTTCACAATTCTGTGGGTTGGATGGATGATTTCTCTACTGGTTTCACCTGGGCTCACTCATGCAGCTGTGTTTAGTAGTTAATGAATCTATACATGGTTGCTCAATATTCCACAGTCAACCACTCAAAATTCCCATTGTCACCATCCTGGATCGGGGCCCCTTAACCTCCCATCCTGCATGCTCTATTAGTTTACAAGCCTGAGTTTCTATAATTTTCACTTTCTTTGTTCCTGCAAAGCACTGTGGGAAGAAAACAATTAAGAAAAAATCTTTGGCCCACTACACATTCACGCCATCCAGCATGAGGTGTCCTGGACGTTGCCGAACAATTCTTTCATGCACCTCCCGTAGATTCCCTAGCAAACTTCCCAGAGCAGCTCTTCTGAGTCATCTCTTGCCTCAAGCTCCAAAGCACTGACCCCTTTAATCTCAGCAGAAGACCCCACAGACCCAATCACCTACTTCACTGAGCAGATGAAACTGCTTAGGTTGGACCCCATCACTAACCTTCATACCACCTGCTTCCTCAGCTCAGGCTGCTATAACAACATACCACAGGCTAGGTGGCTCAAACCACAGACGTGGATTTCTCACAGTTCTGAAGGTGTGAAGTCTCAGATCAAGGCAAGAGTAGATTGGGTGTCTGGTGAGAGCCCTTCCTGGCTTGCAGATGTCCACCTTCTTGCTATATCTCTCATGGTGGAAAGGGAGAGAGACTAGTCTCCCTCTTGTTTTAGGGGCCCTAATCCCATCATGGGGGCTCCACTCTCATGACCTCATCTAAACCTAATCACCTCCCAAAGGCCCCACCTCCAATACCATCACAATGGGGGTTTAGGCTTCAACATATGGATTTGGGGGGGTACAACATTCAGTCCACAGCCCCACCCTTACATTCACTTCCCTTATACCACTTTAGAAGTATATACATGCCTCCTTCCTTATGTTCTCAGCCTTGGAGGAATACAAAGTGCTCTTCCCTAATACAGCTGACCCCTCTTAGCTTTTCTTAGCTCCAGTCTTGGCTCTTGTTCTTGACCCACTTGCCTCTCTCTCTCAGAATCTTCATTCTTTATTAGTTGCTTCCTTTTTGCCTTAAAATATTCAGATATCTTCATCTTGAAAAAATTTCTGACAGGTGCCTTACCACCTCCAACCATTCTCTCTCTCAGCTTCCTCTCGCTATCACAATACTTATTCTAAATTACTTATCTTGTAACTCACAATTTCATTTCCAACTCACCTGCTCCATGCCTAATCCCTCTGCAGAATCCTGCCATCACTAGCTCTCTATTAATCAAGCAATCCATTGTGCTCTCTCACTGCCTCCTCCACTCCCTGAATCCATCTCCGTCTCTTCCTCCCCTAACCCCTGTAACTGCCCCCTGCCCTGTACCCCTGGTTGCAAGATGATCTCTACTGTTAAAAATATTACAGGGCTAAGAGAATACGAAGTATCTTGGATTTGAACAAAAAGACCAGTGGTGATCTTAATTACAGCATTTGCAGGGGAGTGAGGAAGAGAAAACCCCCCAAAGAGTGCTGGTGGTAAGAAAATTTAGAGCACAAGTACAGAATACACAACTAAGGAATATGTCTACCACAGAGAAGGCACCTCAGGCCTAATGGCTAACAGTTACATGGCACTCGCTGTGTGCCAGGCACCTTCTAGAACAGCATGTGTATCAATTCATTCAATCCTCATGACAGTCCTGTGAGGTTGGTACTACTATTATCTCCACTTTACTGATGAGGAAACTAAATCCCAAGATGTTAAATAACTTGCCTGGGGTCACATATGGCCAAGACACTCAAGCAATGACTCCCTCAGGACCAGGGAAATCTCAGGAGCCATGGAGAAGTCTGACAAGAGGGGTAAGGAGAAAAAGGGATGAGGACAGGAACAGAGTCTGTCACAAGGTGAGAAAAGTAGATCAGTCAGCTTTCAGGTTTAGGAATGGACATCTCCTCTCAGAGTTCTAGAAAGAACAGTCCTCACATCTCACTCATATCCCATACATCACGATCATGATCTGTACGGATGTGAGAAGAAATATCTCCAGGCTGTCAGGTTAGTACTAACAGAATGCAGTTATACAGAGTTTTGTTTTGTGTGCCTGGGTCTGTTTTAAAGTGCTTTAAATATTCTTATCCACTTTCTGCTCACAACAGCTCTGTGAGGTAGGTACCATTATTTTACAGATGAGGAAAACTGAACCACAGAAAGATTAGGTAATTTTCCCAAGATCCTATTAAATAGTGGAAATGGGATTGCAATACACAGGCCAGAATCCATACTCTTAACCACTGCACAAGGCTGCCTCTCACAAATCTCAATTGAGTATTTAGTTAGACTTAAAGCAGAACTTCCTGACTATAACAAGGTGCTTCTCAAGAAATTTATGAATATCCTACCCTATGGGAACCTTGAAGATAGATCTGGGAGTCATAAACTGATGACCCAAGGGACACATTTGGCCCTCAGGTGTGTTGGTTCAGCACAGTGTTGGTTGCTTTGTTTAGGTGAGGTGTACATCCTTGTCTTGAGACCTGTCCTACACTCCTGACTCACAAATTTACATTAGACGCCTGGCCTCTGGATGTGTCTGTGTATCACTCCTGGGAAATGTCAGTTTTGTACCATTGAGGAATTTACCTGCAAGAAGAAGGGGGATGAGCCAAATGACTTCT